GAGACACAGAACTACCACAAATGGCCACCTGTGTGATAGAGTTGTCTAAACTGAAGACAAAGGCACAGTTGACCAGACTTTCTTTGTCTTCAGGGCCGACGACAGCCAAATCCATAGGTAGATAGAACGCTGCATAGCTGCCACAACGGCGGCTGGGACAGTCTATGAATAAGAAGAAGAAGAAGTAGAAGCTTGGGGGAAAATGCAGAATTCATCGTGCCAACCTACGGAGTAATAGTCCACGGCATCCCAACCAACTCTCTCAATATCAAGGACCAAGAAACCACTATTCAGCAGATGCTAGCGGACAATCACACAGTCATTCCCAGTGCCAGGATCTCTTACATCGGATGGCTCACGAAGGAGGCCCATCTAAAGCGCGCATCGTCGATTGTGGTTGAATTTATAGAACCCGAGATGGCAAATGCCATCATCTACGCCGGAATGGTGTGGTATGGCCAAATTCACCAATGCCAACTCTATGACCGCGCCTGCCGAGTGAAGCAATGCTTTCGCTGCTATAACTACGGTCATATCGGCACTCAATGCAACGCATCCCAAACTTGTGGCTATTGTGCCGAGCAACATGAGTCAAAACACTGCTCGCGGAAGGGTGTGGAGGGATTCGCACCACGATGCGCAGTTTGCAAAGACGCTCACACTGCATGGAGCAATGCCTGCCCAGCAAGAAAGAAAGAACTACAGAGAGTGGAACAAGCCAAGGAATCCCGCGACATCTACTGGCATGTGCCACGGAAGGAGATGCCGGCACAATCCGGAATCACGAACACAAACCACGCCGACAGCACCAGAGATACCGACGGCAAAGTCAGCAGGAGCAACACGCGCCGTGTCTTAACTCCAGTACCAGCCCCGGCCTCAAGCCCGGCTCCTCCCCGTCTAATCGCCCGGCGCTCGACAAACGCCCTGATGCCGATAGTGGTGGAAGTAGACTCACCACCGGCAGTGCAGGACCAACAAATACCGCAGGCCACGCAAACCGGGACCGCACCAGAACTAATAATGACACCAACAGCACCGAGCCCATCAGTGGAAGATATTTGGATGAACCCAGAGCTCACGGCCGAATGTACTGAGCAGTCTACCATCGATCCACAGCTCACGACTACCGATGAGCCTACCGCAGCCACACCTACGGCATATCCAGAGGAAGGAGTGCTCGGTTTCTCAACACAAGAAGCCGACGACTGGCTACAAAGAATCGACTTAGACAATTGGGTGGACGAGGCTGAAGAGGATGAGTCGTCCCCACTTACATCCGTGGCAACAGACACCCGCACGGCCCAAGGCCGGATCTACAAGGCGTGTAACTGCCCTGAACATCAGGAAATCTACAGCAACTGGCCAACGGAGAATGCGGAGTTGACGATCACCCGGTGTATGAAGACATGCATGTATTGTGGAAAAGACTTTGAAAACGCCGCAGACCTGCGCAAGCACATGAGGAGGAAAAAGTACGCAACACGAAACATCTCGGTAGCCATTCAAACTGGGGGTAGATGGGGCACGAATTCCCCGGCCTGGACTCGCAGAAGCCACACCGAGCCCCCTCCACATTGGCCAACAAATCGGATCATCAGAAGCCAGTCAGTCACAAATTGTACCAGCGAGACACGACGCGCATGTTAGGAGGCCGACCACTGTGCATCTTACAGTACAACGTCAGGAAATCCAAGGAATCGTCCTCGCAAGCCTCTTCCAGAATGGAGGAATCGCGGACTACGACATTATTGCGATCCAAGAACCTTGGCGTAATCAATTTATTAACACATCCTTCCATCCCCTCAAAACACATTTTCAGCTCATGTACCTCGACAACCCGGCAACGCGAGCGTGCCTCTATATCAATAAACGTATCAGCCCCAGCACGTGGCAGGTGACATACGTCTCAGCGGATATCATCTCTCTCACAATCAGCAACTCAGGTGACGACAATCCGATCCACTTGTGGAACGTATACAACGAGGTGGGAACCGATACACTATCGATCTTAGCAGAGGCTCTCAGCCAGCAGCATCAACATCACGAAATTATTTTGCTCGGAGATTTCAATCTACATCACCCTCTCTGGTCAACACGACATCACCGAGGGGTGGCAAGGTCGCGAGCAGACGAGCTTCTCACTATCTTGGAAAACTTCCAGCTTCAACTCCTCACGGTGCCAGGCACTGCAACGCACATATGGAAGGATGGAGACTCAACAATCGACCTGACGTTCGCTACAGAGACGTTGGCAGCTCGCACAATTCACTGCAAGATTGCCAATCAACTGGACTGCGACTCAGACCACCTCCTATGGATGTGGCAATTGACTGGTATTTTCAGCCAGCGACACTGGCAAAGAAGCGTCTGGGCCAAAACGGATGTACAGTTACTGAGGAGAAAAGTGAAAGAACTCCTACCCAACGGGCTAGAAGCAGAAAGGTTGAGTAGCAACGATGAAATTGATGCCTGCGTCACTGCCATTATCAAGGCACTAGACGCAGGCATTAACGAGTCAACGCCGTGGTCTAACCCATCTCCGCGTTCAATCCCAGGATTTGACGTGGAATGCAAGGAAATCTGCAAGGAAGTTCAACGGCTCCGTCGCACATGGCAGCGAACAAGACACGACGAAGACTATGAAGCATACCGGCAAGCTTGCAATCGAAAAGGACGCCATATTCAGAAGACACTCCGCAACTCGCATCGACAGAGGGTGGAGGAGGCTTCCACATGCCGATCGGGCCTGTGGAAATTGGTAAAATGGGCAAAGAATAGGCATACACCACCCTCAGCCTGCACACCAGCTCTGGTTACGCCCGATGGCGGGCTGGCCGAAGGGCCGGAGGAAAAGGCCGAGGTGCTGCGCCAGTCATTCTTCCCACCACCTTCGCAGGCCGACCTGTCGGACATTGAAGGTTACCAATACCCTGCAGCGATCGAGTGTCCCGCACTTACTTCAGCGGAAATTAAGAAAGCAGTGAAGTCCGCATCCCCAAATAAGGCACCAGGCATGGACGGAATTATCAACGGTATTTTACACGAAACCCTCGACATCCTCCTTCCGCACCTTCACAAACTCTTCAATGCATGTCTCGAACAGGGTTAATGCCCTTCACATTTCAAGGAAGCAGTAACAGTGGTCTTGAGGAAGCCAGGAAAAGACGACTATTCACAACCTAAGTCGTACCGCCCAATTGCCCTTCTCAACACGTTGGGAAAGGTGCTGGATGGTGTGATTGCAAACCGACTGGCTTATTTAGCCGATACCTTTCAACTACTGCCCCGTCGGCACACTGGAGGGCGAAAGCTCACCTCAACAGAGCACGCAATGCATATGCTCCTTCAGCGCATACATCAGGCCTGGTCTGAAAGCAAAGTCGCCACGCTACTGCTACTGGATGTGTCGGGCGCCTACGACAATGTTTCTCACGAGAGACTCCTACACAACCTTCGGAAGCGCCGGATTGATACAAAAATCGTTCGCTGGGTAGCTTCGTTTCTCAGTGATCGGTCGACAACACTAAAACTACAGGAATACACGGCGCCATCGGCACCGATTAAGACGGGAATCCCGCAAGGATCTCGCATGTCACCCTATCTCTACTTGTTTTACAATGCAGATTTGGTAGAAGATTGCAAAACCGAAAATACAGAAGCGGTAGGATATATTGATGACGTATCTATTCTGGCAGTCGGGCCTTGTTCAGCTCGCAACTGCAAAACCCTCAAAGCCGTCCACCGCAAAGCTGAAGAATGGGCCGCTGAACACGGCTCACAATTTGCACCTGCTAAATACGAGCTTGTGCATTTCACCAGAGACTCGAAGGCGAATTGCACGCATGCGCTCCGTCTGCCACATACCAAGGTGAAAGCATCCCCATCGTGCAAGTACTTAGGCGTCCAAATGGACACGAAACTGCGATGGGACTATCACCGAGAGAAATTAGAAGCTGGAGCTACCTCGAGACTGTCTGCTCTCTCGGCTCTGGCCTCGTCATCATGGGGCACAGGTCTGATGAATCTTCGTCAAGTATACAGAGCTGTGATCGTACCCCAGATGCTATATGGCTGCTCAACATGGTTCATACCTGGCTCGGGATACAGAAACAGAGGAAGCTCGATGATAAGTGCTATTAAGAAGGTACAACGACGCGCGGCACAGATCATCACGGGAGCGTTCCGGACGACAGCGGGTGGCGCAGTCGATCTCGAGGCGCATCTGCTACCAGTGCTTCAGCAGCTTGAGCAAACGGCGGTTGAAGCAACGCTGCGCATTAGAACAACACCGCTTTTCAACGACATGGCGGTGATCGAAAGAGCTGGGGAGAGGGAGTACCAACTTCGCAACGCGGCGAGCCCTCTTGACCGATTTTCAACAATATTGGAGGACAAGTTCGGCGTCCAACTCAATCAACTCGAAAAACGCCAGCCTCATGTGGTGCCACCTTGGTGGACGCCACCGGTTGTTCACATTGCAAAAACGGCTGCAAAGGCCATCAAAACGCACGATGCCATAGAATCAGGGACGATCTGTATATACACTGACGGCAGCGGCATTAACGGCCACGTCGGCGCAGCTGCGGTCGCACCTGATCTCCAGTTCGATGGCATCAGCGCAAAACGGACACAGTACATGGGCATCTCCGACGTATTCACAGTATACGCCGCGGAGCTCCGTGGGCTAG